CATCCCAGCACTTAGGGGCCTCATATGGGTGGACTGCTTCAGTCCAGGAGTTCAAAGCCAGGCTGTGCAACATAGTGAGATCATGTCTCAAAGAGGAAAAAGATAGTTTTTGCTTTCTGAAACAGTATCTTATGGGGCTAGAAGGGGGGAATGTTGAGGGCTATAATGCAGAAAGCAAGTAGAATCAATACTCCCAGGAGCTAAACACAAGACAAGGACTATAGTTACAATATTGTGTGCTGGAAATCAGCTAAGAGGGTAGCTTTGGGCTCTTATTACAAATGATGATGATGATGATGATGATGATGTGAGAAGGTGGATGTATTAACCAGTTGGAATCCACTAAATCTTGCTGCATCTATCAAAACATCATGCTGTACACTTTAAATACAATTTATTTTAAGGCAGGCATAATGCCTATAACTCCAACCCGTTGGAACCTGAGGCAGAAAGATCACTGCCAGTTCAAGGCCATCCTGGACTATACATAGTGAATTCAGGGCCAGCCTAAGATACATGAACCTGCTGATCTTGTTTCAGACAAAATAACAATAACCACACACACACACACACACACACACACACACACACACACACACACTTATTTGAAAGCTCCTTACTACTGAAACCAAGTGGCAGGGAATAAACACTGGGTGAGCTACTATGTCCCAGAAGCACTACATTTCAAGGGAGCTAGCCACAAGAGAGGGGAGAGTATGCCCTGGGGCAAACCCATTGGCTCTGCTGAACCCCCGACAGCCCCTTTATGCTTCTGCTAATGCCACTGTTGACTCTGGCCTCAGTCTTTAGCAGCCCTGAGCAGAATTTGTACTGAAGTTTATGAGTCAGTTTCTGAACAGCAGCCTCCTTCCCTGGCAGGACGTTCATATTCCAATCGTGGCATTTCCTATAATGAAGAAATGAGGAAACAATATAGAGGTGTGTTAGGCTGCAGCTTTGTTTTGCTTTTGTTTTTTCCATTGTCATTTCAATGCCAGGCAGCGCTGGTCAGCAGAGAAATGCTTGCCCCATCATAGCCTGGCACACTGGGGAGATGCAGGTGTGTGGGGAGGGCTTTGGGTGGGGACAGTCCACTGTGTAGGAGAGGAATCCAGAGACAAGAAGAGGGCGAGTGGGCAGGAGAGGCACCAGCCTGTCCGGATGTGAAACAGGAGGTAGAGCTTCCTTTTCCAGTTGTCACCTGGGCCCTTTTCCCTGTACATTTGGATCTCCACAGTCACACCTCATGGCCAGCTGGTGAACAGCCCTCTACACCAGACCTTGCAGCCTGGGGGTGGGGCAGGGGAGGGGGGAGGGAGGGTGCCATCAAGGAACCTAGAAGAATTATAAATCCTAAATCGTAGTGAAAGAAAGAAAAGCCAAGGAGGCCAAGTAATTAAAAAAAAAAAAAAATCGGGGTTGGGGATTTAGCTCAGTGGTAGAACACTTGCCTAGCAAGCGCAAGGCCCTGGGTTCGGTCTTGGGCTCTGGAAAAAAATCATCCCATCCCCCAACCTTGGTCTGTTTTTACTGTGATGACAGAATACATGAGGCTGGATGATTTATCAAGACGAGAGGCTTAATTTGGTTCATTATTCTGGAGGCTGCATCTGGTGATGGTCGTGGACTCTGCAGAGAACCAAGAAATACAAGGCATCACGTGGCAAGAGGGGTGCATCCAAGGGGCAAAGCCTTGCATGGCAGATCCATTCACTCGTCAACCCTTGACTTGGCTAATCCACTCACGGAGGTAGGGCCCTTATGACCTAATCGTGTGTGTGTGTGTGTGTGTGTGTGTGTGTGTGTGTGTGTGTGTGTGTATGTGCAGTTTTGGAGCCTTTCCTGGAACTCACTTTGTAGCCCAGGCTGGACCTAATCCCTTCTTAAAAGCAATGTCTGGTCCCACTCCTATGTTTTCTTTATTTGTTTTCCTATACAAGGGAGTAACACCTTACCACTGAACTACATCTTGATCTGACCTCTTTAGTGAGACTTTTCAAGGAGGATTAAATTTCAATGTGAATTTTGAGGAGGAAGTTTAAAAAACATACCACCCCCCATAAATGTTTTTTATTTTTTATTTTTTTTCCCTAGAGCTGAGGATTGAACCCAGGGCTCTACCACTGAGCTAAATCCTCAACCCCTCTTTAAATTCTTAATGGTTTTAGACCCATGCCATTTAGTTCTAAATAATTTTTCTCTTATGTCAGTCATTTTTTCCTCATTAATTTTACCTCTTGGACTCAACCATAATTTCTAGAGGGCAGAGAATGACACAATTTTTATGCTGTCACCCCATGTCTAGTAAGACCTCAAAAGATATTGAATATGTGAACTCAGAAGAGCAAGCTAGGAATACATGATATCTCATGGCAGGCTATCCCATCATCTGTCGATAAGATCAGTGATGTAACAGGCCCTCGGCATAGGTGGGATTCTTTTGAAAGACAGGAAATTCAGCCTCAAACAGCAGTTCTCCTAGAGAGAAGTGTCCCTGAGCTTGCCCTTCTTCAAAGCCAGTCCATCAGCCAGATCTAGGCTTCTCAGAGCCCCTTTGCCCAGAATACCACTGGGTACAGTCTCTGGTCAAATGAAGAGGAGTTTGTGCCTAAAGCAAAAATCCAATACCTGGGTCTATGACTAAGGATCTCTCCAGGCGCTTGCATCACAGTTATCTGAGGACTGCTCTCCTCACAGCACAGAGGGATGCCCAGGAGACTCGAAGCAGTAAAGACTTTGGCCCCACTCTTTTCTTCTTTGGTAGCAATCAAGACTTCCAGGTATCACATGACACCAGGGACTACCACAAGGGCCAAGGCAGTGACAGGAGCTAAGACTGTCCCTGGCAGAAACCAGGAACTGTGCAGGACCCAGCAGCTGAGCAGAACTTCAACTCTGCAAAACCTAGGAGGTACCAAAGGACCAGATAGTGGAAACTGTTGTCCAGTTTGATGTCATACCACCCTACACTTGACACAGACATACAGCCAGCCACCTTCTAAGTACTTTATATACTATTTTCTGAGGTCCTGCCAGCACTTCCCATTTACCGAACCCCACCCCACCCCCACCCCCCAGTCTGGAGTCTGTGTTTGCACTTGAAACTGCATACTGGCCTTGAGCTACGAACATCTCCTGGAATCTCACTAATCTAGGTTGGTTCCAGACTTAAAGGCTGGCTAGAACTGCTGAAAATAAATAAAAGCCACCTGGACCCGGGAGTGGGGGGCAGGGGGAAGAGACCCCAGACCTCAAGCAAATGGTGGAACAGCTGCTTCACACAGATTTTGTGTTTCCTTTTATTTTTTTGTTTTTGTTTTTGTTTTGTTTTGGAGACAAGGTTTCTTTGTGTAGGTTTGGAGCCTGCCCTGAAACTCACTCTGTAGACCAGGCTGGCCTGGAACTCACAGAGATCTGTCTGCCTCTGCCTCCCAAGTGCTGGAATTAAAGGCATGCGCCATCACTGCCTGGCTTGTGTTTCCTTCTTATCTACAAAATTCTTTTCTTTCGAATAACATTCTCCACTGGAGGAATCAGGGAAGACGATATAGAGCTCTCCAGAAGTCCACCGTTGCTCAAAGCTGGATTAGAACATCACATCCCTGCAACGCCAAAGAATCTGGGGAGTGTGTCTATCTATATACCAGATAGATACCCCAGCGAGTCTACCCAGCCCTCAAGAGTTGGGACTCGCGTTGTGTTCCTGGTCCACAGTAGAAAAACCCTAGAGTTCAAATTTTGCCCTTTTGGACCGCAGGAAGAAGGGAGGACAGGCAGGAGGGAGCTGAAAGAGAAGCACGTGTGAGCGGCATTGTGGAGCACAGAGCTATCCATCCACCAGTGTCATCAAGGTAGCACCCAAAGCCTGGGCTCTGCACACCCTCAGCTGCTACCCCACCCCACCCCCAGGAGTCCTGACCTAACATTCCTAAAGCCGCTGCACCTGCCCCAGGTCCCCTTATCCTCTCTCCTTCCAATATCGTTTCAAAACTGCAAAATTTTATTTCTTTTCTGGGTCTTTACAAAATAGTTCAGCTACTCCTTAAAGTCTTTGGCAGTTAGTCCAGGCTGCTCCGAAGCCTCACTTACCTATGTAAATCCATTCTAGAATTGGTATTTATTGCCAGGTCACACTTGCTGCTAGGAACTGCAACCCCCAACCCCTCCCCCGTTCACATACTTTTATAAATTCCTTTATTGGTAAGAAAACTGCATTTTTAAAAGAAAGTGGGTGTGGATTTTCACAAAAGCTCCCCAGGGCGTGGGTGCGCCCCTGGGCTTCCAGGAGCCCGGGATCGGACAGACAGACAAGAGCTCGAGGTGCACACGGGGGCTGCACGCACCTGGCGCGTGCCACTGCTGTTGCGCCACTGGCTGAGAGAGGTTGCCAGACACGCCCTAAGGGAGACCCCAAGTCCCCCAGCCAGGTATAAAGAGGGGCCGCCACCTTAGAACCTCAGATCTTTAGCCACCAATCCCACCCCGCCCAGGCCTGCGTACCCTCGGGTTTCATACCCCAGGGGCGTCCCTGGTCGCACCCTCGGGTTTCATACCCCAGGGGCGTCCCCGGTCGAGTGAGCTGAGTCGCCCCAGGTACGTGGGCGGAGCACGCCGCATTTAAGGCGCACGCCACCTCCTCCGGACAGCGGCTGGCTTCGGCCGCGGAGGTGCATGCAGAGTCCGGGTCGGCGTTTGCCTCTTCAACGCCAACATCGCCGCGGTCACCTCTCAGGAACCAGGGTCTGCACACCGCCGCGGCCGCGGCCACCGCCACCACCAGATCGGGATTGTCTGCGCATCACACATCACAAGCCTGGCGTGCCACTAAAAAACCGCGCGTCTTAACCCCAGCCCGGCTCACCACAGCAGCAGCACACCTGCATCCCGTGCCCTCACATCCATCTGCTAGAGTGTTGGACTACCAGCCACAGAATGCGCCGGGTGCGTGCAGCCTCCACGTCTAGTGGGGACCTTAGGAGACCATCGGGAAGCGCTGGGAAAAGAAAAAGAAATGCTGGGTCTCAGGACAATAGGGGGTGGGCAATCTTAACACTGGACTCACTTCCAGTCGCCAAGAATATATATGGCAAATTAGGGCTGGCAGTGTATAGACGTTAGTATAGATGTGCAGGAAGGGTCCCCAGGGTTGCCAAGCCAGCCACACAGCACCTGCTCTGAAAGCTCCTGTTTGGAGATGGACCACTAGGCTTCTGTCGGATGCAAGGTGGTCTGAAAAGCCACGCTTACAAGTGAGCCTGCTTGGAACTCCACCCCTTCCTTAAGAAAAAAAGATGGCATATCTGGTGTGACCCATGGACCAAGGTGCTAGAGAAACTGGACCCCAGAGAAGGGGTCCTTGACAAGACGCTTCCAGGGCTGTGCCAACCAAGCCTCGTGTCTCCAGAGAGAGGATGGGAAATATTTTTGGAAGGGGAGGAGGGAGACGCTTCCTCTCCAGGTGGGGAGGAGGGGGCCGGCACTCTTCTGGGCATCTCCTCACTCTGGAGGAGCAACTTTGCAACTCCTCAAGAAAGCCTCTCTGGGGGCTAATATTGCACCTCTGCTTCTCTTCCAGAAAACACCAAAAATTTATTCTGTGGAGCTCAATGGAACTAAAGATGTCAATCAGATCGACCAGAGAGACGACACGAAGTTCAAGGGGGCGAAGGACAAGGACTCGGAACCCAATAAGAGTCATGAGAAAGAGGAGCTGAAGAAAGAACTTGATCTGGTCAGTCCCCAGAAGGTGGAAGGGTCTGGTGCCCCCTCCCCTGAGAGCCTGTCTCTGTAGCTTCCCTCTGGTAAGGAAGAATCACCTCGGCCTTGCTAGCTTGGAATACCCTGGAAGGATTCCAACCTCCTTGTTTGTTTGTTGTTGCTATGAGTGTGATAACATCTTTCCTGGTTCTGTCCTGTCCTCCTGCGTCCCTCTGTCACCACTCCTTGTCACTCAGTCATCTCGCCTCGTTGCCAGATTCCTGCGTTCTGGTTGGAGGCTGTCCCAGATAGGACAGGGAGTTAAAGCATCCGTTGTATGCCCAAGAGGCAGAAACCATCCCTCTCCTTTCCAGCGGCTTCCATGAGATATAAATAACCCTGTGTCAATCTCCCAAAGAGGGAAAACGGCTCCAGGGGTAGAAAAGCCGGGCCTGGCCGGCCTCAGTCTAAGACCTTCTCTAGGACAGAGCTGTAACTGGGCACAAACAAGCTAGCTCCATGGAAACTACCCCGCCCCCATGTAAAATGGGAAATAGTTTGCAAGGTCTGGGAGGGGGAAATGAGCCACATTTTTAAAGTAAGTTTCTCTGAAGGAAGGACTTTGGGTCGTCTTTAATGAACAGCCGCCCTGGGTGTGAAATGGAAGATATCCTTTTGGGCAGGCTAAAGGGAGTTTGAGATTCTGCTGGATTATCCCTGCAGTCCATGGGCAGACCTCAAAACCTGGGCTATGGCTGGACTGATGCAACCAGCTTGTTCAGGCTAGGTTGCCAATTGTTCAGTACTCAGAAACTTGGCATAGTGAGGTCCTCATGAGGAGTCAACAAATACTACAAATCAGAGCTGTTTAACTTGCCTGGGGAGCTTGTTAAACATCTAACAGTGCACTGTTAGGCTGTTGTGTGCCTGCATCCTGGTAGACAGCTCACAAGATGGACTGACCTAAGTTTAAATCTCAATGTGACTGACGTTCATTTTCCTATTTTCACTCATCTTTAACCCCAGCACTTAGAAGGCTAGGGTGAGGGGTTTGTGAGTTCAAGGCCAGACAGGGCTACATTCTGAGACCTGATTAAAGGGGTAGGGGGTGGTGAGTAATGCCTATCTGTTAGGGTTGTGGAGAGGATTAAGTGAGATAGGTCAGGTCAAAGAGCAGTACTAGATAATACACAAAAAGAATTATTATGTCCTGTGTGTCTCTAGTGTCTAAGACATACCTGTTTTCCCTTGAGATTGCTACTCATAGAATAGAGTATACCTCTATTCTCTAATAAGCCTTCTCACTTTTTAGTTATCTATATTGACCTATCTACATTTTATTTTCATTGCAAGTCCTCCTTCTACTTCTTCAAGCTTCTCACAACAGTCCTGCAGTTTGTGTCATGATGCGTGGATGCCTTTGAACCTTGATCTCTGTGGCAAGTGAGAGCCTTGGAACTAATCTTTCTGAATGAAGAGCCCATGCTACTCTGGTTCTTCTGAATGAAAACCCTGTGCTACTCTGATTCTTCTGAATGAGGAGCCTGGGCTACTCTAATTCTCCCGAATGAAAAGCCTGGGCTACTCTAATTCTCCTGAATGAAGAGCCCATATTACTCCAATCCTTAGGAGCACAGCCTCACTCTTCCTCTCTCCCTGCTTTCATCCCCTGTGTACTTGGGGTTTGCTTACCACCTTCAGCCAGTCTTAGCATCCAGGTCTAAGTGAAGTATCCAACTAGCTCAAAGCTACAAGATGAGGAAGGATGGCAGGGCTTGCATGTGCTGGAGGTCAGAGTGTGGCAAGTAGGCATTGTGTTGCTCATAAAAACCAAGGGCAGTGCCTGAGCGTCAATGGCAAGTGCAGTGTGTACTCACGGGGGAGGGGGGGCACTCAGGACAAGGGTCTCCTGCACCAGTACCCCTCCTCACTGCACAGACTCCTCTGCTTCCCACCAACCTCCCTGGCCCTTTCTTTTCTCAGGGCTACTGCCAGCGTTCAAAGTGGGTCAGATGTTGGGGTGGAGTCTTTTAGAATGATGCCATTCACTCCCTTTCCTTTTGTGAATTTCAGGATGACCACAGACTCAGTAATACAGAATTGGAACAGAAATATGGTACAAACATCATTCGGGTAAGTCGTCAGGGGACCGAAGGTCTGGGGGAACAAGCGTCTTGACTGTACAAGGAGGAATGCTGGTGTGCTCAGGCGGTGGGTGACCTGGGGCCACACCTGTGAAACTACCCATTTTCTGAACAACTGGATCCTGAGACAAGCCCACTCAGCCCGCTGGAGCTGGCGTGTCTGACCCAAGGCTCCAGCCAGGCTTTTTCACTGAGCTGGATGCCCAGGCAAGATAGCTAGGGAGCTATGATCCCCAGAATGATACAGACCTTCCTCAAGGTCATGGCCACAAGTTGCTTTCTGAAGTAAAATGGTGCATGGGGCTCTTTTTATTGGAGGCCGGAGAGGCGAATGTTAGAATGTAAGGACCTAAATTCTCCATCTCAGAGCCCAAGGGACCAGAGCACACTGGTATATCCTCCGTACTTTACAAATTCCTCACTACACAGTATTGATTCCTTCTATGGATTCAAATTCAAATTCAATTTCAAAAGTTTAAGCCTCCTTTTTTAAAAGCTTTTTTTTATTTTTATTTTATATGTCTAAGTGTTTTGGCTGCATGTGCATGTAAGTCACCACATGCATGCAATACCTGCAGAGGCCAGGAGAGGGCATTAGGTCCCAGGAACTGTTACAGATGTTTGTGCATCACCGTATGGGTGCTGAGAATCATCAAGACCAGGTCCTCTGCAAGAGCAACAAGTGCTTTTAACTACTGAACTATCTCTCTAGCCCAAGTCTGAACCTCTTGACAGAAAAATGAATATTCCTTTGTTCAAAAGAAAAAAAATGTGGTTCACACTGGGCTGGCAGTGAGAGTATGTAGATAATCCTATGGTTGACAGCCTCTGTGAGTGCCGAAGGCTGGCCACACCGTTAGAAATCTCTGGAACTGCCTTGTAAGTTTTCAACGGTCACCGAGAAAAGGGCTTCTGGAAAAAGAGAGGCAGGATGAAGGGCTGTGATGAGTTAGTTGCTCAGAACCCAGTTATACAACCAACATTTGAGTCACTACCAAGCAAAAGCATGAAATCCCAGAGCAGACTTAAAAACAAACAAAACAGAGATACTGCCTCTAGCTTACACATGATTAGGAAGAAAAGATATGCACAAGGTATTGTCTGTGACAGAGAGTTTGTGTGGGGTGTGGTGGCACATGTGTGTATTAAAGCACTCAGGCCGAGGCAGGAGGATGGCAAGTTCAAGACCAGTATGGGCTATATTATGAGTGTCACAAAATAAAAAGTAAGAAGAGGTTTATATAGCTAAGACATAGAAGACTTTCCTAGCTCTGGGTGCAAACCCCAGCACACCATCCAAAATAAGAAATGTTTATTGGAGACATGTTTAACCTGATTTAAATATTTTGTAATGTATACAAATTGACTATCACATGGTACCCCAGTAATAAAAGCAAAAGTAATCTTTGTCTTTAAAAAAAAAAAAAAGGTGGGATTTGGGAGAACAAGGCCCTGGGCAGTGATGGACACAAGCTGCAGAAACATGAAGACTAACTGTTTCTATGTGTGTTTTGCTTGGCTTTTTCAGGGTCTCTCCAGTATCAAGGCTGCAGAGCTCCTGGCTCGGGACGGGCCCAATGCCCTCACCCCTCCCAAGCAGACCCCAGAGATCATCAAGTTCCTCAAGCAGATGGTGGGGGGCTTCTCCATCCTTTTGTGGATAGGTGCTATCTTGTGCTGGATCGCATATGTGATCCAGTATGTCAACAATTCTGCATCCCTCGACAGTGTAAGCCACCATCCTGGTCTCATGGTTACCAGGGGGAGCAGTTAGTTAGTAAGTGAGGCTATTGGTGGGCACAGTGCTAGGCTAATGCTAGGGTTCCACCACCCACCAGGCAGTGATGAATATGGGGAATCAGGAATTCCCCCAGCTGTGAAACGAGTGATATTTCATTCTCTGACGATACAAGCATGAATTTTAGAATACAGACAAAGCATCTAGTCTGTAATGAAGTATTTTTGGAACTCTCTTTCCTCAAAGCTAATCTCTCTCCTTTTCCCATGGAGGGCAGCTATACCTGCTCACACCACAGAATTAAACTGGCTGATACCAGTTTTCTAAGAGAAAGAAACCAGCTGCCAAAAGCTAGGTGCTATATGAGGTCATTGATGTTAAATACCATATCTGGCATTGATGTTAAATACCTATCTGGCACATCTTTGGAGGGCGCATCCATGGTCCTCAGGCTGGGCACAGAAGCAAAAAGTGACTGATTGCCAAGGAACATGAGTGACTAGAAATGTTCTAGATTTCAGATTGGGGTGGGGGTTTGAATGTGTGTCTATATGAAACAAGATATCTTAACGTTAGCACAAATTTTTTTTCCTTCATATATACCTCTTCTTCTTTACCTGAAGGTAATTCTTGGCAATCCTCTCAGCATCTCTGTATCTGTGACTAGTCACATGAGATCAGGCAGTGGTGTCACATTGGCAGTCAGACTAGGCTTTCAGATCAGGAGTTGTTGAGTTAGAGGTCACTACCCCCTATCTGTTTCTCTGACTGCTGCTTCTCCTCCCCACCCAGGTCTACTTGGGTGCCATACTTATCCTGGTCGTTATTTTAACGGGGATTTTTGCTTATTACCAAGAAGCCAAAAGCACCAACATCATGGCCAGCTTTAGTAAGATGATCCCCCAGGTGAGTAGAAGCCACCCGGCTCTGGTCTCTTCTTGAGTTCTGGGTAACAAGGCAGCCCTGGCCCCATTCCATGCTGTCTGGCATATCTTGGGCAAATTACCTCGTGTCTCTGAATCCTAGTTTATCATAGGGTTGAGGTGGACGGGAGGGCTAAAGTGAGATCAGAGAAAATGCTGGGTCTAGGGAAAAAGCAGGACAGAACATTAGTCATTGCACAATGTGTTCTGAACCATTTTGGACAGCCACTCAAATGGCTCTAGAATATTCCTTACTGACAGTCAAGGAGATCCATCCAGTCTACTCTATTTGTGACTATTTTTTGCTTTCTGAGCTTGTTGCCCTAATGCTCCTGTGGGGACCAAGTGCCCCTTTCTCCTCCCAGGAATCCTTGTGTCTGTAGCTAGGAAACCTCAAATGAAAGAAGAGCTAGAAGAGAAGATTCTGTCCACAAGAGATGCCTCTTGCAGCACCCGAAAGAAGTAGGGCACTCCCTCATTAAAGTTCCCCTATCTCAGGAGCTAGAGAGATGGGTCAATGGTTAAGAGCAATGACTGCTCTTCCAGAGGACCCAGGTTCAATCCTCAGCACCCACGTAGCAACTCACAACTGTCTGTAACTGTCTGGGACCCGACACTCATGGCAAAACACCAATAAACATAAAATAAAAATAAGTTCTTCATCTCAGCAGGAGTCCAGCTCTTTGGCTGGATGTCACCTGTCCGGCTATCCGGGTAGGGAGGCCCACCACCACCATCTCCCTTGGTCATATCTGCCAGGCAATGATAGACTTCTGGTTCCAAGTACAGACCTCAAGAAAAAAGTAGTTCTCAGAATCTTGACACCCCATGTGAAGCAGTCTTCAATTTTAAGCTCACCGCCAGCTAGGAGTCCCGAGCCACGCCCCCCCCCCACACACACACTCTGGAGTTTCATAGGTACAGACAGTGGCGAGGCCAGTGTGCTCCCCAGAGGCTTAGATGTCTGCCATGGCTTCCTTCCACAGCAAGCTCTTGTCATCCGAGATTCAGAAAAGAAGATCATTCCTGCGGAGCAGCTGGTGGTGGGGGACGTTGTGGAGATTAAAGGAGGGGACCAGATCCCCGCAGACATCAGACTGGTGTCTTCCCAAGGGTGCAAAGTGAGTATCCAGGAGCACCTTCCTGGAGGAGCCCTGCTGAGAGAGAGCAGGCTCTCTCTCCCTATTAAGGAAAAAGTAAGCGTGAAAGTAGCTAATTCATTCTGGATTACTTTTGAACTTTCTTTCAGGTAGATAATTCCTCTCTCACTGGGGAATCTGAGCCCCAGGCTCGTTCAACTGAGTATACCCATGAAAACCCCTTGGAAACAAAGAACATAGGCTTCTATTCCACAACGTGCCTGGAAGGTAAGGCCAGCTGGCTCTCAAGGGTGCATGCCTCACCTCTGTATCAGCTCTCCCTCCTGGGCCCGAGGTTTGTGTCTCTCCAGCGTCTTGCCGTAAAGCTCTCCCAGAAGAAATTCCGAGTGGAGGGGACCAGAGAACCAATGCTAGCCTTTGAGTTGCCATGCGCGGGCTCACTGAGCTGGCCACCAGAGACGGCCGGGAGCAGGAAGCCTGGAGTCAAATCTCTTCTTTCCCTTGTAGGCACGGCGACTGGCATTGTCATCAACACGGGCGACCGCACCATCATTGGTCGCATAGCCTCCTTGGCCTCCGGTGTTGGAAGTGAGAAAACACCCATCGCCATTGAGATCGAGCACTTTGTCCATATTGTGGCAGGGGTGGCCGTCTCCATTGGCATCATTTTCTTCATCATCGCCGTGTGCATGAAGTACTATGTCCTCGATGCCATCATCTTCCTCATTAGCATCATTGTGGCCAATGTACCTGAAGGCCTCCTGGCCACTGTCACTGTGAGTTTGTGCAACTGTTAGCTAGCCTGCACCCCCACGCTCTCGGCACCAACCACTGCGGCTGCAGAGCCACACACCTCTGCCCATCCCACCCGAGACTACCGCGGGATGTTCTGAATAGACTGTTTCATAGAGTGGTTGACAAAAAAGAATTGCGATGTTTCTAACATCCGGACGCACTGTCCTTGAAACTTGAAGTTTTCAGGAGGTCTAGCTTACTTCACAGAGGCTGGTTGTCTCACTCCCTTAATATCTAGAGAAGACAAACTTTTAAACCCCATTTATAGAATTTCTGGAAGCAATGCATTCCTCTGGCTTATTTTCTAAGATTCCCTTTCTCCACCCCTTCTTATTATGAAGGAGTTAACCCTTCCTCACCTAACCTTGAACTTAGCCCTGGTTCTTCTCTTTTTACCCAGGTCCATCTAATTCAGTCCTCAGACAAAAGCTCCCTCCTCCCCAGCCTGCTGGGGAAGCCTAGGGGGTGGGAAAAAGGGTTCCTAGGCTAGTTATTTAACACATGAGCTGTGGCCGAGTGCTATCCAGGCCAAAGGCAGGAGAAGAATGGTTTTGAGTTCCAGGTCTCACTTCCTATTTTGTTGTTCTGTTTTGTGGTTCTGAAGATTGAACCAGCACCTCATGAATGCTAGGCAAGTAATTTACCACATCCCAGCGGTTCAGAGCACTCTTTTGAGTTGCGTGAGTTTTAGCCATAGCTACACAGCCTGTCTTTGCTGCCTGAGGGCTTCCTGAGCATTTTCTTCAAAAAATAGAGAGACAAAGAAAGTGTCCTGCATGTAATCTTTTTTAAGATTATGGTCAATAGGACTTCAGGTGGCTTTCAACTCACTAATCCAGACTTCTTATAGCTGTAATACCACCTCTGGCCTAACCGTATCCTAGCTCTCTCCCAAAAGTCAGTCCCAGATAACCTGAGTTCAAAATGATTGTCCCCAAAGTCTCTTCTCCCCCTCCTGCCAGGTCACCCTGTCACTGACAGCGAAACGGATGGCTAAGAAGAACTGCCTGGTGAAGAACCTGGAGGCGGTGGAGACCCTGGGCTCCACCTCCATCATCTGTTCAGACAAGACCGGGACCCTGACCCAGAACAGGATGACTGTGGCTCACCTGTGGTTTGACAATCAGATCTTTGTGGCTGATACAAGCGAAAACCAGACAAGTGAGTTTCGTGGAGCATTCTAGCCCAAGGACAAGGACCAAGCAAAAGGGCTGACTGAGTCTCTGGTCTTAAGTGAAGGGTGTGACTCGGGCATGGCAGGCCCAGCACCCACACTAACCACTGTTCTTTCTGTGTTCTAGAACAAGCCTTTGACCAAAGCTCTGGAACCTGGGCTTCTTTGTCCAAGATAATAGCACTGTGTAACCGAGCAGAATTCAGGCCGGGTCAGGAGAGCGTCCCCATCATGAAGGTAAAGCTGCTACCATTCTTGGTCTTATATCACGGGCAGCATGAGGTCACTCTGTGTGTTCTACCTGGCTGCTTGATTTAGTCTCTCCAACTGTGTAGCATTTGCTCTGGGAAGAGCAAATCTGACTCCTGAGATGAGCAGAAGGTCTTCTCCACTCCATCAATCACTGAGAAATGACAAGGATGCTTTGCCGAAATCCAAATTCCATCTCATTCCTAGAAGACAGAGGTGGCCATAATCCAACTTCCTCAATACATAAATGCTATTTGCTGAAGCAGAAAATTCAACTGGATGGAAATAAAGGGTCTGATCTTACATAGCACATTCTCTTCTTGACTAGAATGTGAAATGTTAAGTAGTTCTGGAACACTGAATGAAAAAGACACTCCTTAGTTCCTTCCCTCCCTCTCTCCCTCCCTCCCTCCCCTTCCTCTCTTCCTCTTCTCCCCTGAAGCTGACTGTGTCCCCCTGGGAATGTCTGCCCCGGTGGCCTCTCAGCAGCCTGTCCTTGTCCCTGTCCACCTGTGCCCAGCCTGACTCCCGTCAACAGGCTGTCACAACGTTTCTGTCGACAGAGTCACTCTACTTGTCTTTGGGCCAAAGGGTCGGGAAATTATCTCAATTTCCTTCTGTCCTCCCATTCTTGGTTTGACACACACACACACACACACACACACACACACACCTTCACGACTCTATCGTCACCAGTTCCTTGCATCTAAATTGCTGAGCCGCCCCTCACTGACCTCCCTGCTTTTATCCCTCCCCTCCATCTTTTTCATTTGCCCTCAATTTTCCTTAAACGCTGACTGATTTTACCTTCACCAAGCTTTGCTCAATTTGTGTGTGTGTGTGTGTGTGTGTGTGTGTGTGAGAGAGAGAGAGAGAGAGAGAGAGAGAGAGAGAGAGAGAGAGAGAGAAACCCTGTTTTCTGCTGCTTGAATCTTGACCACAGACTGCTTTTCAGGAACCTCCATATCTTACCATAACACCTGTACTTCCGCTCCCGGCAATCTGCTTTCTAGAAGGCTTTTTCCCCCCTATTCACCTAGGCCACAGCTCAGGAAGCCCCCATCCCCCCAACAGAGCTCCCCAGCTCAGACTTCCCTAGTGCCTGTAGGTGGCACCATTGGTCTGTGTTCTTACCATGGTCCTGGCTCAGTCACCCAGAGTCTCTTCAACTGGTGATAATCTTGGTCAACCCGTGTTGGTTGGTGTGCTAAAGGCAGGTTGGTTCATCAGAAACAGTCTCAAAAGAACTAGGTGATGTGCTGTAAACATTTATCTCTTTTGATTCCCAGAGAATTGTGGTCGGAGATGCCTCAGAAACTGCTCTTCTAAAATTCTCAGAGGTTGTTTTGGGCGATGTGATGGAAATTAGAAAAAGAAACCACAAAGTAGCCGAAATTCCTTTTAATTCTACCAACAAATTTCAGGTGAGTTTTCCCTCACAACTGGCAGTGTTTGCCACTCGGACAAAGCCATAGTACACCCCTGTCTGTTAATCTGTGTGCCGACCATGCCTGATTTCAAAAGACCTTGGAGGGGTGGGAGGGATGGGCATGAGCATCTGGACAGCTCAGGTCACGTTTGCCAGTGCTGCCATTGTGGTCATCCTCATCCTTGTCCTTGTTGTCGTCGTCGTCGTCATCATCGTCGTCATCCTCCTTCTCCTCCTTCTCCTCCTCCTTCCTCCTCCTCTTTTTTTAATGACCAAGAAAAGACATAAAGCCAACCTTGCCATTCCTGAAGTAGGGGAGAAAAAAAAGACAAAGAGCTTCTTAGGGTCTGCCATTCCTAAGAATAGTCCATGTGTCCTACATGCATGTTGAGAGAGAGAGAGAGAGAGAGAGAGAGAGAGAGAGAGAGAGAGAGAGAGAGAGGAGAGAGAGAGAACTGTATACTATGTATACAGAACTCGGTATATATAGCACGGATATCATATTAGGAGTGTAAGTCATCTAGAGGTTCTTTAAGGATTATGGGAAAATGTGCTTAGGTCTTGTGTAAACACTGCATCCTGTAATAGAATGTGTATGAGCAACATCTTAGTTTTTAATATTCTTGGGCCCTGGAGCCAATCTTCTAAGGACATGAGAACCAATTATATAAATCAGACACTTTATTTACTTTATCTAATCTATCCCTTATAACTGATCTATGGGGTAGAACCAGAGAATCCAAATTTATAGGGTAGGACTAGAACCCTTAAAATGGGTTGAGATCACAGTCTCACAGTGTCTAAGCGAACCTACCAGTTTTGACAGTTGCTAGAATCTACATAGAGTCTACTGCACAGATGCAGAAATGTTAAGCATGCCACATGAAGACAGCTTACCTGAGACTGCCCTTGAAGAAGACAAATCCTTCTGAGGACGAGCCAAATGTTTTTTTTTTTTGTTGTTGTTGTTGTTGTTTTTTAAGTTAGTGTTTTATTCCCACTCCATATACCATTGCTAGGGACCTCCTTTCTGTTCATTGCTCAGGAAGAACATGGCCATCATTGCTTAGGTGCCTTGAATCACTACATCAATGGATAGTAATTAATCATATCTATCCTCTTGATAAGTTGTCTGTGCAGTGTCCTGCTGCAGATGGGATTTTCTACAGAATCGCATGCTGAGAGTGAGGGATGTAGCTTGGGCTTTAAATAATAAAAAAGTGTGGTCATGCTAAGTGGTGTCATCATTGTATGACCATGACAAGTGCCACCACACTTGACTCTAGAGCTTCTCTTTGTGGTGCTGGAGATTGAACCATGGTGGGGGTCTCACGTGTGTTAGACAAGCTCTGCCCTGCTGTTCTGAAAAGGAAGGTGATGATGGCAATCAACAGGAAGCTTTTTGGTTTGAGTTAGTTAGATTGGGTTCGGTTGAGTTTGGGTTGGTTAATTGGTTGACTTGATGTCTTTTCTTGGTCACTAAAAAAAGGAAACTGGCAAACCTATTTTCTATTTTTTTAATCATATTCATTTCTGATAACTCAGAATCTATCAACTACTGATTTCAAATCAACAGTTAATCCCAAAGTTGTGGCAATTTTCTTTATATTTTCTCCAAAAATATTTCAAAGGTTTACTGTCCTTGAGCATTTGATTCAATGGTAGAGCACTTGCCTTGCATTTACAAAGTCTTGAGTTTAATTTCCAACACTACACACACACACACACACACACACACACACACACACACACACACACACACGTCTCTCTGAAACTATTTTGTGTGCTGAGGTAGGTGTGTGTACGTGTGTGCATGTGTGTCTGTCTCTGGGTGGTGCCTGCATAATGTGCAGACTTAGCCATCTGATCATTATATGTGATGATCTATATATATTTTATTGGGATGATTATCTTAACAAGATGATTCTAGAAGCAGAGTTGCTGGATCAAGAATATTTGTGTAAAATTGTGAACTCTGCTGCATCGCTGGCTCCTAAAGACTGCTTGTAATGCCTTCTTCTTGGAATTTCCACCGTTTTCCCTTATGTCCAGATAGTAACACTAGATCCACCCTGAGACAGAGAGGCTCAGCATCTGCAAGTGGCTGCTTATGGCCAGGGAGATGTCTCAGTCAGCAAAGCACTTGCCTGGCAAACATAGGGACCTGAGTCTGATCTACAGAACTCACGTACAAAAGCTGGGTCGGGGAGGCAGGGACAGGCAAATCTCTGGAATTTACTGGCCAACCATTCTGGCCAATTGGTGAACTCCAAGCCAACAGAGACCCTTGAAAAACAAGGTGGATGGCACCTGGGAATAACACCCAAGTTGTCCTCTAGCTTTTACATATTTCCCACACACACAAACATGCATTTGCATATGAATGTCATACACACATAGATATGTACACCTGAACACACATGTGCACCCAGACATATACATACAAGTGCACATACGAAAGATGGCTGCTCACCATTGGGAAGGAGAAGCAAGACAAGGACTCTCACAATACCTCTGTCCAAGGTTGTTCAGCCTGAGGGGTGCATCTGGTCTCCTTAAAGAGCCTTAAAGGGCCAGTGTCTGTTTGAAATACAAGCTTCACCTAGTGTGGATTCCAACTCAGCATGCCCCTCTGGCCACCCAAATCTAGATGTTATCTTTTTAATTAGTTACAAATGCCAAAGGATAGGCCATGCTTGGGGGTGCCATGGTTCTTCCTCTTCTTTTACTCTCTGAGGACAAATTGATGTTCCCCCCACCCATCCTGTTGCTAATTATCTATGATAAAGATGCCATATCTAACCTGCCCAATCCATGCCCTCCCAGCTCTCCATACATGAGACAGAGGATCCTAATGACAAACGCTTCCTCATGGTGATGAAGGGGGCTCCCGAGAGAATCTTAGAGAAGTGCAGCACCATCATGATCAACGGCCAGGAGCAGCCACTGGACAAGAGCTCTGCCGACGCCTTCCACACAGCCTACATGGAGCTGGGAGGCCTGGGCGAGCGTGTGTTGGGTGAGTGTAGTAGGACAGCTGGGTTCGTCTCCTGAGAGTCATGAAGAAGTCCCATTAGCCAGCAGAGTAGCCATGGCACCATATGGATCATAGAAAGAAGAATATGAGGGGCTGGAGTGTGCCTAACATGTGTGAGGTCCTGGGTTCAATCCCCAGCACTGAAAAAGAGAAAAATACAGAAACAAGGGAGAAACCTGGAAGGGATTGCGGCATGTTTACACTGGGGAGGATGGGCTTCATTCCAGACACGGTCGGGGACCTGAGAGAAGAAGTCACATTTTAAATTGGGCCTTGAGTTGCAGTATTGGAATGGAAGGAGGAAAGTGTCCACGTGAGAGAACCGCAAAGGCTAAGAGGAAGAAGAGAGGGATGAGAGTTATGCATACGGTGGAGCAAGTGGTCCATGCAGCG